CCGGTATGATGTAAATTGCTAAGCATAGGTATATCAACTAATCAATTTTACAAATGTGAATAAAATCACAGCAACCAAGACAATACAAACTTCTGCGTGAACCCGTGACTCTAAACAGTGATCTCAGAATATCATGCATTGTTTCTGATACAAAGTAGTTGTCAGCGGTATTCATTGTCGTCGCCCGAAGAGGCAATTCAACCTTGAGACATTAGGTCGACCCGTTACGTAACCCCTTAGCGCATATTGCGTCCGAGAAGAAAATCATCTGTGGATAGAAGAAAGTACATTTCAGTGACGGGTTTCATGGCTATTAGAAAATTACTCAGATGACTCATCGTCCAATCTAATACCAACAATCACCCTTTCATGGATCTGCTTCGAAACTGACATGTACTATAATGTATTGCGTCTCCTACATCTCAGAACAAATTCAAATCTGAAGTAGATAGAAGTAACTCACCAAGATATCTGGAATCGTCTTTATTTTTCCGTGTATACAGGAGCAAAAATCTGGTTAGAGCAAGAGTACCCAGTCAGATAGCTTTGGAGAAATATCTTCTAAATGGTCTACCTGAATCTTTGTGTCGATAATTTATGCAAAAACTGCCCAAGGTATTCGAAAAATCCTAACAATTAGGACATTTTCGAAAAATGACAACATTCCTTTTGAGAAATGATTTCAGTTCCATATTCAAAGAAAGTCGTAAAACTTTTGTTTCTCTTTAATCGACAGTGGATTAATTTTCGAAAATCTGGATCGAAGATATGTAATTTTGGACTTCCCGTGAAGATCAGTTTTAATTTTCCGTGAAAAATTCACTGATGGACGAAATTAAAACTTGTTGTAATCATTGTTCAGTTTCAACTTTGACTGTCAGATATTTATTCGTTGTTAGCATACATGTCTGACTTGCACAAAGAGTAGTAGCGAAGGCGGTTAACTAACTTACCAATATGTCATAAGTGAGATTTCATTTTAAAACAGCAACAGATTCGGAAGCTGACCAAGTTTTAGCTTTATTTCGGCAAAAGGCAAGACGCAAAATACCGCAACACAAAACCTTTCCAAAACAAAAGCAAACAATTGTTAAAGCAGCTTTGTTAAAACAGCACAAAAATTAGGACGATTTTGGATAAATCGTAATTTCTTCATAATGCAACCTGGCAACCAACAACAGCCTGTGCGAATCCACCTTCATGCACACCACATATCAACAGCGTCGAGCACAGTGAACACCAAAGCATACCCAAGCAGACACCAGACCCGCTAAGCAAACGTCAACAACATAGCCATTTCGGATTTTTTATCATTGTTTTTCCTAAAGCATCGATCTGCCCTCGCGTTCTGTCCCTGACTAGATTAGGCGGACAATCTTTCGAACAGATTACATCCGCACCGTTCAGTCTGTTCGTATTGGTAGCTTAATGTCTCAAACCGTTAAAAACTGTCTTAACAGTCCAAACGATAAAATGGGCCGCTAGTTGTTGATATATGATTTTAAACAAATCTATCTTCATATCCTTCAATGCCTTATGCGCAATCCAGGCCGACAACGCAATTATGGATATTCGCAAATGTTCACATTACAAATTTCTTTAAGGAACTTTCATACGTATGGGCTAAGATAATGACTTTCTCACAGATAGTTACTGAAACACTTTGGAACTATCCCAAATTCACCTTGAAGCAATGCGATACTATCGGCCGGAAGACGATCTAGACTCTCGGCAAAGAACAGTACGCACAACCGTAAGCTAATTATCTAGCTCATGTAGTATTGTTAAGAGTGAAATTTGGCAGCTTTACTCTCAAGACATGGCAAAGATATAATAATTACAAAGCCTACATCTCAGTAAAAGGAAGCACCGAGTGCGAAGTTCCTTAAACATAAATTCGGTAGTTCTAAGCCTGTTGCCGTACATTCACTATACCTGACCGCCATGCAACATTTCAAATCCGTCACCATACATGGATTATCATCTACTATTCCTTGACTGGTTACAGTACCCAGAGTTCGTGATAAACAGATCAAAAGAAACGCCCTCAAATAAGGTGATGGTGGCTCAGAATACTACAACTTTGTCACATTCTGCATGACGAAGCACATGAAGTCGCTAAGCTCAGAAGAGTTCAAAATCAATCAAGTTTGCGGCTAAAGCTTCGGCGCGAAACTTCGAATACTAAATTTTCAAAATCTATATCCACTCCCTCGATGGACTTATTGTCAAATGCTCATCTGGATCCATCAAACTCGATAATCACGGTGTCACAGCAGGTCAAATAATACGAAACACATCAGCCACAGATTTTACTTACTACCACGAACCACTTTCGTTAAACGTTTTCATCACTCATCATTTGGCATTGCATCCAAATCATCGTCAGAGCTATCGCAAAACTTGCTTGCCTCCGATGTTTTGCCTTCTTCGTTATCCATGATTTTGTTCTCCGATGCTCTTCCGCCTTCGGCATCCATTTTAACCATATCTAAACATTCTCAATTACGTGCAACAAATAACAGAAACTGAAGCGAATATGAAAATGAAGCACACAGTACAGTATTCTAGCATGGACTTTGGGACGTCGTCTTTATCACTACTAACAGCATGTGACAATAAACAATGAATTTCATTAAAAGATCTCATCATACAGGTCAAACAACGTAGAAAAATGACCAACTATGCATGCGCCCAAAGCGGAATAAATTTACTACTGCAATGTTGTTAAACACCCCGCTACCATGGAGTTAGCTGAGAGTAAACTTCGTTCGCGAATACAACAAAGGAAACACCATGTTCAGAAGTTAATGGAGAACCGAAAGTAAGGTTTCCGAAAATGCGGCTAATTAATAATCCTCATCAAAACACTCCACTAAATATGTCCTGAACTGTACCAAGCAAAACGCGTAAACCTTAATGACAGAAAACTGGAAAAAGTCTGCTGAAAGATGAGAAATGTGCATACACAGGGAAGTGTCTGACAAAATAGATTCTGCAGACCACGTCTGCTTTTACATATCTTTTAATTCATACCAGAGCGATAATATCATTGACACCGTCAGGAATAAAACTCAACTAAATATGCAAGACGTAGCAATGAC